AATTTTTGAAGTTAGCATATTTTAATATAATTTGATCCAGGCAACTTATGCAGTTTTTCAGTTTCTTATGGTTTTGCAAAGCATTGTTTCATTTATATCCTTCATTTTATCAATTTACCTTAAAATGATCCATAATACCACCCACATTTTATTCCCCAAATAAGCCAATGAGGTAAGGTAGCTAAGATTTTATTAGTCAAGATTACCCAGTAAGCTTCACATAGATAAGACTATGAACTCAAATCTCTCCACTTTTAAACTGAGATGCCAGCAATATCCTAATTACTTTTACATTAAAATACACTAAAGAGAATAATCCTTTCATTATTTCAATAAGAGAAATATTTTTTTCCAAAAGCAGTCTGGGTTATATTGTATTATCTGTCATATTCTGTATTTCACTTCTCACTTTTATTAATCAAAACAAATGTATTCAATTAAAAACTTCTACCTTTCATTTTTTCTTTGAGTGTAAAGCTACCATGGATTCTCTTCAGTTCTGATTCCATTGTTAGCCCACCAATATCTGCCTCAAGATGTGTGCGATTTACCATGCCAATTCCAAAGATTATGAGGGTCACATGCTGAGGTTCAGATATGACCAAACTACGTTTTCTCTGAGGTCTGCTCAAGCTGTTGCTATCTTGTTCATTTTCAAATGCAACTTTACATGCAGGTTCCGTAGGGCTCCGAATTCCTACAAGAAATGGAAATAAAATCAAGAAATATTAATAGAATTTATTCAAAAATAATTACCATAAAAGATATATCCATTATTTATGAATTTAACAAGGCACTGTTTTCTGCTGAATTCAATATGCCTTTAACTTTTATATCTGCACTGTTTCTTATCTTGTAGGCTGTTTTATTTAGCCTTAACAGCAGTAAAACATAATGAATATCTTAAACACAATAAACACATAAGATAGTAAGCATCTTCATATTAGGATTTTGGTTTTGTAAACTGATGATATTTGCTTCACATGGATAAATGAATTTAATGAAAGTTGGTGGCACTTTGCATCCTTCAAAATGTTCAAAATGTCAACATTTCAATTAAAATTTAGAATTATCATTATTTTAAGTGTTGCCAATAAATTCAATTTAATAATGAATGAGAACTGTTTCTGATTAATCAGAATTAAAATTTAAATAATCTAATAATAGAACAATTAACTATCAGAACAATTAATAAGAAATTGAAATAGTTGTAATGTGGGATCTGTAACGATCTATGTACAGAGAGAGCCATTTTGATGCAGTAGTTATAGGCTACTGTAACTACAGATTAGAAGTTAGGTGATGCGAGTTTTAGTCCTGCTCTAGGCACAGAAGCCAACAGGCTGAGCCAAACACTCTATTTCACCCTTAGGAAGAAGGCAATGGAAAGTTATTCTGAAAATGTTGTCAAGCAAGCTGCATAGACCTGACCATGTAGTCACCAGGAGTCAAGATTGACTCAGAGCCACCAAAACAACTGTTTACATATGGACCTCACATTTCTGAATATCAAATAATACATATAAATAATGGGATTGAGAACTTTCTCACTGCCTTAATTCTTTTTATTTGTGTGTAAACAAAAATTTTAATCAAGTCAGTTACAAAATTATTGTATTAGCTAGCCAAGGATTGGATTTTGATATGAATATTCTTGTGATGCTCAAAAGCAGCCAATATCAAAAGCTACCATTCTTATACATAAGATTTTGAGCCTAATTGTTTTTCTAAGTGGTATAAATTCAAACTTTCTAAATATGACAACAATGCACAATAAATCCAATTATCATTGCTTGTATGAAATGTATGAAAAAAATCATAAAACTACTAAAGCCAGAATTTCTTTTATTAAAGGTGTTTTGATCCTGTGTCAAAAAAGTACTTATGCCTCAATTATCTACAAAGCAAGACCTCTTCTATATAGCAAGTCTTCACAGTTTTGATTCTTTTTTCATTTAAATTCCTCTAATTTTATCAGGATTTATTCTTTCCCTATTATTTTACAACTTTTCTGCATTATTGAAAAAATCAGATATTAAATGAACTAATTTAATTGCCAGTTTATCAAATTTAATTGCCAGTTTTAGAATTAAAACTTTTATTTAGCAAAAAACAAAACCTATACATCAACATAGAACTCTGTTCCTAACTGTGAAAGTACCAAATTATGAAACATGCATCACAATCAGAGTTGTTTTGAGATGGGAAACTACACAAAAGTTAAGAAATAAGCCAGCCAGGCAGCTAAAAGTAATAAGCCAGCCATGTACCCAACCAACAGGCTTGATCTAGTGATTAAGGCACCAGGCTAGAAACCAGAAGATTATGGGTTCCAAACTTAGACATGAAAGCCCCTGTGTGACTTTGGGCCAGTCTCTCAGTCTCATAGCCCAACTTACCTCAGAGGGTTGTTGCTGTTATTGGATAAATTGGAGAAATAATGAATATTAGGTAAGTTTGGCACTCTTGAGTTACTTCTAAAAATAGTAAAGGTGGATATATATGTAAGTATGTATGTATGTATGTTATGCATGTATGATGCCAGCTACGTCCTTTGGGACATTGCATGCAGGAACACAATGGGCAGAATTCAATTCATTTGCTTTCTCCAAGAGAGGCAAATTATGGTAATTCATCAAAAAATTTCTTACCTGCTGGATAAAATGTTTCAGAAGATTTTTCTAAAATCCCTGTTGGATCTGAGATAAGAGAATAAAAGTTCAACAGTTTATACATATTTTGCCAGCACTCTGCAGAAGGTTCACTCTGTTCTGACACTGTAATTGAATCAGAATCATCCATATGAATGGTGACATGGTCAACAACATCCCTGGAACCTTTCCTGGATACTTTAGAAGTTCTTCTTTCTGCCCTTCCCAGTGAATTTTTATTCCGAGATTCTTTTTTATTATTCTCACTGTTTGATCGTTTATTTTTTGCATTGTTCACTCTGTTTACACCATTAAGACTGCCTCGAGAACTGCGACTGAAATCGGAAGAGCGGAAGTCTCTGTGTTTCCGAGTTTTAAAGGTTGGTGTTGGAGAAGCTGAGCCAGCTGTATATCTACTAAGTTTGATGTCTGTTTGTGTAGCCTTAATATCATCTATCATGGTGCTGAATTGGTGAATAAGCCGAACGAGTGCCATATCAACATGCTGGCTTATAGACTGACAAGAGATTGTAAAGTTGCAGTGAAACGTGCTATAATGACGTTTGTTAAAGTCATGAAAAGAAAGAGCATTGGCAGAATTTTGAGGTGTATTCGCCGATTTCTCCATTATAACAGCGCTAATACTAAAAGTTTCCAACATTAATGCTGGTTTGAATTCAAGTGGAGGAAGATTTACTAATCCTTGCCTAGGAAACAAAAACACAAGAATTAGTCTTACATTAAGAACCATAAAAGCACTGAAATTACATTATTTAGGTAACATTTCAGAAAGTGATATCCCAACTCCATGATTATTTAATTTGCCAATTCATAATTTTCTTAAGCATCGCATTATTTCTGACTTCCTAAAGAGGAAAATAAAATTTTAAAACCTTTAATATCAAATATATTTTTGGAGCTCAAGTGCCATACCTTTGTGCTCTTTTGCTTCTTCTCTCCTTTGCTGTATCTGAATCAACAATGTCTGCTCTAAGGCAATCCAGAGTTCCTGAGAATGAGAGATGTTCACCAAAGTACATCCTATAGCACAATGGTACTACATCCTGTGGCTGAATTCCTGTGTGGCTCAGAAGAGGTTTGAAAACAACCTGTCAAAAATAAAGCCAGGTGTTTTCTTAAATCATAACTATTGAAATTGTCATTCGTTAAATGTTACTACACTTTTGAAAATGCTTCCAATATTTTACAGCACTGAAAGATTACAGGTTGACATAATTAATTTAGTGGTCTATATGTATCTTAATTGCATATTTAATATGCAATTAAACTAAAAGAAGGAAAACAATGTATTCTCATGCCAATTACATAATTGAAGTTGGAGAGACGAAAACCTAGGATTGTGAAAACTATTATGTAGACAGGAAATGCATGTCTCCAATTTTTAAACTGGAAAAGAATTATGTTGATTTGAAAAGTCAAGCGGAAAAAGCTTCAGATTTAAACCCTAGGTCTAATATATAAATATAGAGCTTGAATTAGCTTGGTGTAACCCCAGAGTCACCCACCTTGGCTTTGTGCCTAAAGCAGGACTAGAATTCACAGTCTCCTGGTTTCTACTCTCATGCCATAACCACTATACAATAAACTGGCTCTCTTATCATACCTGTGCTCCAATTTTAAAGACAAACATATACCTGTGCATCAGCAAGTTGAACAGCAGGGAGTCCCTGGTTCGCCTCCTCAATACCAACAATATCATCTTGGCTAGTACTGTGTTGTGAATGTGTTCCATCCAATGTGTTTTGGTCACTAGACATTACTGTATTGAAGTCAGATGCTGACGGTATAGTTGGAAGATTTGGAGCCACACCTATAAAATAGATCCTGCGTTAATTTTCTAATAGTTCTACTATAGTTCTACTATATTCAGGATTCAGAAGGCTGAAAAATTATTCAGAAAAAAGAAAACTTCTTCAATCCTGAGGAAAATACACTCTGCATGACATCAATTTCAGCTCACGTGTGTAAGCCATCTGTGTGCGTCTATA